AAACCATTCTCGTTGTAATCAAAATAATTTCTTTATTTTATCATTATTATTATTATTTTTTTTTTTTTTTTGTTAATTTTAATGGTATGAATAATTATAGATTAGGAAATAGTAGATTTACAAATATGATGATAACTTCTTTTATATAATCATAATATTAAACTTGTTACTCTAAAATGAATTAATATCTGATGTTAATTGAAATTCAATAAATGTATTACTTGAGACTAGATTTAATAATTTGAATGTAGGTTCCTGGTATATTTTTTATAAATGATTTTGTGTGAGACATCAATTTACATATTACATAGGATACATCAGCTAACATAATTCAAATGTCTTGATAGTAATTTTTAAATATTATTATTAATGAATTCAATCATTCTATTAGTAATAATAGTCATTTTATTAAAAGTTTTTATTAAGATTTAAATGTGCTATTAAATATATTTTGTTATAATTAAACCCATTAAATGTCAGTAAAAATACATTATCTTAGTTTTAAGTTTAATAATTGTCTTTGTTATCGTATTAGATACCAATTATGGATAATGATATATTGGATGAAAGATCGAGGGAATTTTTAGAAACTGCAGATCAGTATATTACTGAACATGGCCATCAACATGTATCTGAAGAAAATAGTAAACAACTTGTTAATGACCAACATAATTTGCCTGAAGAATTTCGTATTGGTAAGTATTTCCATCAAATTAAAATTATAATATCTACAAAATATATACAAATTTAAGATGAGAATGGAGAATTGTCCCATCATGCAACTGGGTATTATGACACAAATGATATTTTATCTGGTAATGGATCCACAACACTCACTGAAGATGACCATCGATTAGCTAATGAACTAGCTGCTGAGCTTGCCCAACAGAATAAATCTCTTGTTGATGGTGGCCATCACGATACTCATCTTATGACCAGCTATCTATATAGTACTGATTTTGATTTAAACACAAACAGTAAACATTCATCACAAACTTCAAGTCATATCAATAATCAACAAGTACCTATTATACATAAATATATATTTTACATTAAAATGTATTTATTTAAATGTCTTTTATACAGATTATTAGTTCTGAAAATTTAATAGAAGATGAAGCTTCAGAATCTGATTACCATGTGGAAATACAAAATAATTTACCACACAAAAAACGTTTTCGGAAAAGAGAATCCACCCCGGCTCCAATGAGAAATATTCATTCAAAGTGTTACAAATGTAAACAATGTGGTGAACAGTTTAATTCTCAATCTGCAGTTACCGTAATTGATTTTTCTATCATTATTAAGTCAAATAATATATATATTATGATATTTAACCAATCTTTATTTGCACTTTGCAGGCACATAAACCAGTACATGCTCCTAAAAAGGTTAATGGTCGAATGCCATTTTTATGTGAGATCTGTGATAAACATTTTACACATCAAATAAAGTTTTTTGAACATCTAAAATTTCATTATGAACCACAGCAAAGTAAAGTAATTGTAGTTACTACAGACTCTGGTACTTCACCACATCATGTAAATTATCAAAATCACAATGTTCAAGAATCAACCGACAATAATGAAAATCAATACATTGAAGAAACTATTGAAGATCAACCAGAACTTCATGATCTTCCTCCGCTTCAGAGTTATAGAGTAAGGTCATATATTTATTGGTATATTTAAACTTACTCAACTCTAAGCAAAAACTCATCAACCACAAATGTGTTATAGTATTTGTGTGTCATCATAATCTAGAAAAAAATTACTATTTTACTATTAAGTTTAGCAGGCACTATTACAGTATTACATGAGATACTAAATATGTTCACATACCTCTCAAATTTCTATTAAGAGAATATCAACGCACGTTCATTTTTTTCTCTGATCTATCCATGATATCAAATTAACATTTAGCAAAATCTATCCTATGTTGTTACTTTAAGTATTATTGTGAATATTATCAAACTTTTAAGTTAAAAACGTTACTTGTGTTGCTATGTTGGCTTTTTAACAATATTTTAATTCATAAACATTTCAAAATTGTAATATTTTACAGGCTCATAACTTACATTAAAATTAAGATATCATAAAATAGCTTACATAGCATCTCACGTAATGTTCTTAAAGTTGGATAATAGGAGAATTGACTCTTAATAATTAAAGTAACAACTTTAGGTTAGTTCTGCTGAATGTTAGCTATGTTGCTCATGAGCTAGAGATAGAAAAATATATAGTGCGCTGAAATCCTCTTAAAGTATGATAAGTAGTCAGGCCCAACACCTATCAGCTCTAATCACCTCCAATCACCTCACACTACACTATTACAGGGGTAAGGGGTTACCACTAACTTTAATTTTGGGAGCCGTAAATTTATGAAGGTAATTTGAAGCGAGCCACATTGTTAAGATAGGTATAGTTATAAAATGAAGACACATTTTTAATTTTATAACAAAGAAGCATTTACTTTTTACACTACACTGAACAATATTGTTCAGGTACACACTAAGGAATGATATTTACGTTTTGAGAAGTGTTTTTTATATTATATTAATTAGTTTTACTCTACGCTTGGTGTCAAGAGCCACACAAACTGACTCAAGAGTTGCACTTGGCTAGCGAGCCTTGTTGTGGCTACCCCTATACTAAACATGGGTATAATGATATAAGGTATGAAATTAAAAAGTAAATAATTTTTATATTGGTACTTAATAAACAAAGTGATGATGTATTTGCCATATTTCCTTTCCGAGTTATGATTACATCTTTACATTAAAGTACCTTCATAGCTTATATGAATTTTTACGATATCTCATGTAGAACATATGCTCTACGACTTTAAAATAACATTAATATTTAATTTCCTTATAAAATTTTGATCAATGTAATATTGTCAATTGCCATATAGAAAATAAAAATTAAATGTTGAGCTTAATTTCAATCAGTTTTTGCTTCAACCAAATAATCTATTGTATGAAAATGGTAATACATCAATTATATTCATTTTCAGTTAACAGAAGAGGAGAACATGGAGGATGATAAACATTGCATATTTTCATCTGATGGATCTATATTGGCTGCACAACTTCAGCAGCCATTTCCTTCTTGTCATCTATGTGGTAGAAATTTTCGTCGTTTAAAAGCATTGGAAATTCATATGGCTTCTGTACATCCACAACCTGCAACTGTTGTTACTGTTAAACAGGACTGTTTAGAAGAGTTTTCTGATCCAGAAGATCTAATGGAAGGTATTCGTCATATGGTACCTGGTGTAGCTGATACTGAATCAGAAACTGATGAAAAACAGCCAATACAAGAGCAAATGTAATAAAATTAATAATTATAAATATAATTTTTCTATAAACTCTTAAATTTTTTTAGTTGGGATTACAATGGTGAAAACATGACAAATCATGTAGATCCTATGATTAAACCAAAAGAAGAAAATAATTGTTTGTTAAGTGGAAATGATGATAATGGTGAAAACAGTCGGGCAGAACACACTTGGGAAGATGATACAGATGAATTAGAACAAATAATGAAAAAAAATATATCAAAGAATCTTATATGCACTCAATGTAAAAGAAAGTTCAATCACCGTAATTCTCTACTATATCATTTAAGATCACATTCCGGTAAACGACCGCATAGCTGTAAGCTATGTCCTAAAAGTTTCTTCTCCAGCAGTGCTCTTAAGGTATTTGTTACTGACACAAAAAAAACATAATAATTTGTTATCATTTTTGTACTATTAATTATATTTATAGGTACATAATCGGCTTCACACTGGAGATAAGCCATTTGAATGTGAATGGTKTGGACGAAATTTTCGTCAGTGGGGTGACCTTAAGTATCATATTGCTTCATTGCACTCTGAATCTAAACAATTTCAATGTGAATTTTGTGGTAAAGACTTTGCTCGTAAATACTCATTGATTGTTCATCGTCGAATACATACAGGAGAAAAGAATTATGTTTGTGAATTTTGTAAAAAAACTTTTAGAGCGTCATCTTATTTGCAAAATCATCGTCGAATTCACACAGGTGTGTAATACATTTCTGACGACAATTTTTAGATAACTATTGTACATATTAATATATTGTATTATAATACTTCTTATTAGTGCTGCCTACCTTATCAATAATTTCGCTAAAAATCCAAAATTTACAAGATGTGATACAATAAATATTTACGTATTTTAAAGTAATGGTATCCCATTTCTCTTTTATTTATCATTATAATAAAGTTAAAAAATCATTCACTTTTATCTTTGAAATAAACCTCGTGCAGACTATGGTTTTCATAAAATTTCTCAGAGAAAGTCAATAGACCTTACACATTTCCATCAGACCCCCTTGTGAAAGTCTGTACAAATTATTAATTTATAACATGTGCAAAAATAATGCTATCAAATGTAATGCCAAAGATTTCATCTAAATATATTAAATACAATCTTGAGCGCTAATTTAACTATTTTCTAATTTTTCAAATAATTAAACCAATCGACACACACTCAATTCAAGATTTTTACTTATCCTTTGGTGTTTCTCATGTGCAAATGACTTAGGTTTTTAAGAATATTAAAATTTGAAAAAAACTTTAGTGCTTTATTCATAAAACTCAAATGCCCTAGAACATATAATAATAAGTATTTATTTAAATTGATTAATCAAAATTCTTAATACACAATTTTTATTTTTTTATTTTTGATTAGGTGAAAAACCATATAAATGTGAGACTTGTGGTAAAGCATTCAGAGTACGTTCAGATATGCGTCGACATACTGTAGTACATAGGAAAGATGTAGTAAACTCTGTTCAAATTAATAGTTATGCTGGTCAAGTGAGTGGGATTGTTACATCTTCAGATATGAGTATTCATCTAACTAAATTGGAAGTGGATAAAGATAAAATAACAGAAGATTCTGATGGAGATGTTAAATTCCATGAAAATTTCTCTCATGATTCTAATCAAATATTAACTGCAGATGAAGTTAGTGCACCTCTTAATCTCAATTTACGAGCTCAAGATAATGGTCACAATGATGAATCAGCTAATTATGAACAGTTTAATGGGCGTCAAGAAATTATTGATCGGGAAACAAATACTTTATATGTTTGGATTCCATCCAATACTGAGCAATTATTACAAAGTGAATAATTAGAGTGAACATAAAAAGAGTCTTGTACAATTTGGTCAATTTCTAAAATCCAAAGACTTATAACTTGTAATATTTCTCTGAATTTTAGTTAACATGGCTTCTGGATGAAGATTTCAAAAATGCAAAAAATAATACATACTCTGACTTAAAAGATCTTAAGTTTGAGAGTTTTTTTTTGCTGTTGCTAAGTCTGATATAAATTTGATTTAAATAACAAAAATTGTGTTTGATTAATTTCTTTTCAGACATTAAAATCAAATAAGAAAATGTTAACAAGGTAAATTATTCAAATCAATTGACCCATATACCATTGTATAAGTATAGAGATTTGAGTCGATAAATGTATTATGTGTAATATAATTAACACAATTTGTTGAGTATTTATTATAAATTGAATTATTGTACTCTTACTAACAAGTTTTTATTAATTCAATGATTATTTTAAAACATCATAAATCATAAGTAATTGTATTAATAAAATCAACGAAGATGCACATTTTCATGAAAAATTTATGCATTAGCATAATTATAAGACTTGGCTAATAATAATAAAATATATTTAACTTAAATGTTCMTCAAATAAATTATCTGTTTTTATATATTTATATATACATGTAATATGAGAAGTTTAAAAATGTTTACAGGATTAATATCTTACTTAATAAAAAAATAAAGATTAGATAAGTAAACAAGTTTTAAACCCCATATTTTATTAATAATATCTCAAGTATAATTATTAATTATAATTTATCTATTATAAACCAAACAATCATATTAAATTAATAGTGAAATAATATTAAGCTGTTATTCCTGGTTTTAAAATTTTTATATTTAAATATATTATAGTAAGTATACCTATACAATTACTAAAATCCAATAATATATTTCAATCAAGTTATAAGTTTATAATATACCAGTTTTATTTTAGGTAAATTTCTTTTATATTATTACTAAATGTATTTAAAGGTTGTTATAATGTTGAATTTAAATCAATTATATTTTTATATGTATTTGTTTCTATTTATTTCTTGAAAACAAAAATATCAAATGTTTTCCTCATATGACTGCTAATAATATATTATTGTTCTCSTAACATTATTTTTAACACATTTAATGATATTTGTTAGACAATTGTTTTGTGTTGATTTTTATTACATACATATCTTAAAAGGTATGTTTTTTTTTTAAATAATTATAAATTTGAACATTTTTAACTGTAGATGCCAAATTTATCTTTCAAATTAAATTTAATTATTTTAAAAGTTCAATCAAATATCAAAATGTAATTTATGTAAAAAATGTGTCATAATGTTCAAATTAAATTTATTAGAAAAAAATTGATATATTATAGATTCAAACCATTATTATGTTTTATGTAGGTTATTAAATAACTAATTTAAAACTGGTTCTTATAATATATTACAATTAATACTTGATGTTTATTAGTTATGACTAATAAAGTATAATAATATATAAACTAAAATCACTAATGTATTTTAAAGACAAGCTATTACTACAATTAGTTATCTAATTCTTTAGCTCATGTGACTATCCAATGAGGCTTGTTACGATAAGTTTTCAGAATATGTATTCAAATGGAATAACAGTAATATGATCAGTTAATTAAATTATTATAATTTTAAAATTATTATAATTTTAAAATTATTTTAATACACAAGATTTAGATTCTGAGCAAAAAGATGAATGTAATAATTTTAAAATATGTGTTTTTTATGTAATTAAAAAAAAATTGTAACTGTTCATAACATTTTAGAGTAGTCAAAACTCAAAAGTGCCTTGCTGATTATATCAACTTATGGGAAACCTTGTATTAAATTTTCAAGCTTTTTGACTTAATAAGAATAAAATATTATTGACATTTATAGTATAAAAAACTAAAAAAGTTTAAAACTTAATCAAGTATAGGAATTGATAAAATAAACATATGGTGTAAATTTAAAGTTTCTACAGTTATTTGTTTTTAAACAATAACAAAATAAGAATATCAGTACAAGAGAAATATAGTGAATATCCAGGGTTGTAAAAATTTAAAATTCAAATGCTCATAAAAATTAAATTTGATTTCCAATTTACTTTTTTTATTTTAAAAGATTTAAAAAGAGAAATATTTATGAAATTCTAATTCAAAATAATTGATGTATTTCAGTAATTTTTATGTATTTTATAAAAATTCAAACTTGAAATGGTTATAAAAAAAAATTGTAACTACCTATGTATTTAAAATGTTTTTTAATTATAATTTTTACAGTATATTAATATTAGGAACCTTCCGTTAAATTTTTAAGCTCTCTTACCCAACAAATAAAATTTTGTTGACATCTTTCAAAAAAAACGAAAGAATTGAAGATTTCAAATGTCTATAAACAACTTTAAAATATTATTAATATTCTAAAAATGTTATCATTGCAAGTAGCAAGTAGGTATAGAAAATGCCAATATAAACGTTCACTGGAAATTGTATGTATCTACAGCTAATTGTTTTAGAATTACACCAATACCTATCCAAAACCTATTTTGCGTAATAATTCCCGTTTTTCCCGGTGCTTTTGAAAAACTACTATAATTTTCTCATTTGGGACTTCCCAATGTACTAACTAAATCCACATTCCCACTAAAAAAAGCTACTGAAGTTAAAAATTGAAGCATAATTTCGGCAACTTATCTTTTACACAGAAAAAAACACATCATTGTAAAATTAATATGCATTCATTGCTCCACTCAGAATTTAATATCTAAACATGAACTCTTGAACACATTTGAAAAGAAAATTGTGCCATTTTATCAGAATTCAACACGAAAAACAAGCCACTTATATCATAGAGTAATATAACTAATAATATAATATTTTTCTATAGTCTACGACTTAAATCGAGTTGTATTATATAATGATATCTGTGGATTTATCATATTGAGGTAAAAATAGAATATCTCTCTTACATGGCAATTAGTGATCGTTGCGGAGGACGTATTAACGATTTCCATATACAAATTAAAAACGAACAAAAAAAATGTTGCGTTGCGATCGGTATTATTTTTATTAAACACAATATTTTCAACTCAGAACTGTAGCTTTTCCACGTTGGTGATGGTAAGTTTATTTTCATATACTTTTGGGGGCTTAAAATATGTTCCAACTTGTAGCCTTAAAATAAATATATTCATTGTCTTAAACAATATGGGTAGTCCGTCGGGTGATTTAGATTTTAGACACATATCGGCATATCGCTCATCCGGAAGAAAAACGACAAAAGTCAAAAATGATCAATTTTGGCTTTTTATACATTATAATAAATAATAAAATAAGGATATTTTATCCAGAAAACGACACTTCTGTAGTTAAAAAATTCACCACCTGAGTGCACTAGTGTCACTTTTCCGTTAAGAAAGTACATAATGACACTCGTGAAGAAATGTTTAATCCACTCTCCTGAAAAATATCACATTTAGATTTGCGTAATTTTTCTTCCGAATGAGCGATATTTTATTTCAAAAAATATCAAAAAAAAAATTATTAATTTAACCAAAATTGAATACTCAATTATATATATACCGTGTGTCCCAAAAAACAGGGGCTACTTTACCACTCATTACCATGA